GCTATATTTCCCAGGCTGGTCTCAAACTTCTGGCCTCAAGTAATCCTCCCACCTCAGCCTTCCAAACTGCTGGGATTATATGCTAGCCACCGTGCCTGGCCAGCTTCTACTTATTTCTTAATAGAAGTTGTGTTGATTTAAAAAAAAAAAAATAGTTGTTGTATTTTTCTTTTTTTTTTTTTTTTTTGAGTTGGAGTCTCACTCTGTTGCCCAGACTGGAGTGCAGTGGCCACTCCCGGCCACCACAGCCTCGACCTGCTGGGCTCCAGCAATCCTTCCTCCTCAGCCTTCCAAGTAACTGGAACTACAGGCACGTGCTACCACACCCGACTAATTTTTTGATTTTATTGTAGAGATGAGGTCTCGCCAAGTTGCCCAGGTGGGTCTTGAACCCATGGGCTCAGGCAATCCACTCACCTTGGCCTCCTAAAGCGCGGGATTACAGGCTAAGGCACCGAGCCCAGCCAGTTGTATTTTTCTTAATGATTTATTTGTTCTAGATATAAAGTTCTTGTTGATTTTTAAACTTTCAAATATCTATTCCTGTCCTGTCATACACCTGATAATTTTGTCCATGGATTCCTTAATGGTTAACTTTTTGGTTTTATCTGTCACATTTAGGTTTTCATCCCACCTAGAATCTACCTCAGTATGTGGTGTTAAGTAGTAGTAGTAGGCTCGGGAATTTTTTTTTTTTTTTCTTCTGTGAGATGAACTAGCACCATTTATTGAGCATGTCTTAGCCCTTTGATTTGTGTCCACCTTTACTGTGTACTCAGTTTCTGTGCCTTAGCTCTCCTTCATTGTTCTGTTTATCCTTAAGCCAATACTACCCTGCTTTTATTACTCTGGCCTTGCAGTTTGTCTTAATAGCTGAACTTCTTGTTTCATCTTTTTTTAAGGATTACTTAGCTTTCTGAGGACTTTTATTCTTCCTTATCAATTTGGAACATATTTCTTGAGTTTCTAGGAAAAAATACAACTGGAATTTTAATTGTGATTGCATTGATTTTATGGATTAATTTCTGGTGAATTTGATATCATAGACTGTCTATATCTTTTTAGATAGTCTTCTGTGTCCTTAGTTAGATTTAATTTTTTTTTTTTTTGTTGGGGGTCTTGGGCCTTTCTGCTTTATTCCTAGATACTTTATAGTTTTTTAAATAGCTGTTGTGAATGGTACCTAATTTTCACTACATTTTTACAAATTAAAATTAAACTTTTTACTTTGAGATCATTGTAGATTCACATACAGTTATAGGAAACAGTATAGAGCCAGATGTTGTGGCATGCACCTGTAATCTCAGCTATTTAGTAGGCTGAGGCAGAAGGATCACTAGATTCCAGGAGTTCAAGTCTGCAGTATACTGTGATCTTACCTGTGAACAGCCACTAAGCACTGCAGCCTGGGCAACATAGCAAGACTCCATCTCTCTTTTTTTTAAGGGAAAGAAATGAAAAAAAAAAGGAAAGAAAGAATCCAGAAAGATGTCATGTACTTTGTACTGTTTCTCCCAATGATAACATCTTGCAAAACTGTAGCTCAATATCACAAAGAAAAATGGACATTGGCACAGTTAAGGTACAAAACATTGCTATCACCACAAGATTCCTCCTGTTGCTCTCTTATACCCACACCTGATTCCCGCCCATTCTGCCCCTTAAGCCATTGGCAAACACCAATCTGTCCTCTAATACTATGATTTTGTCATTTCAAGAAGGTTATATAAATGGAATCATATAGTGCATATAATTTTTAGATTGGCTTTTTTTACTTAACATAATTCTCTGGAGAGTGATTCAGGTTGTTGTATGTATCAGTGGATCATTTCTTTTTATTGCTGAGTAGTATTCCATGGCATGGATGTACCACAGTTTGTTTTATTATTCGCCTGTAAAGTGATATCTGAGTTTTTTTAAATTTGGGGCAAATATAAATAAAGTCATTATACTCATTTGTATTCAAGTTTTTGTGTGAACATAAATTTTCATTTCTCTGGGTTAAATGCGCAGGAGTGCCATTGCTGGATCGTATGGTACAGGTTGAGTGTTGCTAATCTGAAATTCTCCAAAAGCCTAAACTTTTTGAGGTCCATGACACTCAAAGGAGATACTCACTTCAGCATTTCAGATTTCGGATTCTCATATTAGGGATGCTGAACCTATAAATGTAATGCAGATATTTCTAAATCTAAAAAAAAAAAATCGAAAGTACTTCTGGTCCCAAGCATCTTGCATAGGGGATATTCAACCTGTAGTAAATTGTTTAGTTAAAAGCAGAAACAAAAACAAAGCTACCAAGTTATTTTCCAGAGTGAATGTACCATTTTTCATTACTATAAGCAATGTATGAGTCATCCAGTTTCTGTGCATCCTTGCCAGACTTTAGTGCCAAACTGTTTGTAGTTTAGCTGTTTTGATAGGCATGGAGAGGTACAGTTTCTGTAGAGAACAGTTGGCAATGTCTGCTAGTTACAAATAAACATATTCTTTAGCTAGACCTACAGGCACGCGGTACCACGCTTGGCTAATTTTTGATTCATTGTAGAGACGAGGTCTCACCAAGTTGCCTGGGCTGGTTTCAAACCCGTGGGCTCAGGCAGTCCACTCACCTCAGCCTCCCAAAGTGCTGGGATTACAAGCTGAGCCACCGAGCCCGGCCCTTTTTGACATGGCAATTATACTTCAAGAAATCTATCCTGCAGTTGTACTAACACATATAAAATGACTGTTTATAAGAGCAAAAGAATAAAATTACGTATGTATATGGTTAAATAAATGTATGATACTTTGAAATAGTGGAATACTATACAATAAGAAAGAATGAGGAAGCTCTTATGTATTGATTATGGAAAGAGCTGTAAGACATATTAAGTTAAAAAAACAAGATTCAGCTAATGGTCATAATATGCTGTCATTTGTATAAAAGATTGGGGAAAGAAAAGGTATATTTGTATTGGTTTGTATATTTATGAAATATTTTGGAGCAGTTACTTAGGAAATTGATAACATTGGTTAATTGTAGGAAGAAGAAATAGGGGGAAAAGTAGACTTTTTTCCTTTTCTTTTTATAACCTGTCAGTTTTTTAAATTCTATTGCCTATTGAAATTATTTATTTACTTATTTATTACTCTTTATTTTTATTTTAGAGTTGTGGGGTACATGTGAGGATTTATTACATAAGTCAATTGCGTGCAGATGAGGGTTTGGGCTTCTAGCAAGTCCTCTCTTCCCTGGTAGTGGACATGGTACCCAATGGGTGGTTATGTGCTCCTTGTCCCCTTTGCCTCCCTCACCTCACTAGTAGGGTCCAGCATCAGTTGTTGCCACCTTTGTGCTCATGTGCCCAATGTTTAGGGCCCACTTATGAGTGAGAACGTGGCAGTATTCAGTTTTTCATTTCTGTGATATTTCACTTAGAATGATGGTCTCCAGCTGCATTCATGTTACTGCAAAGGACATACTTTTGTTCTTCTTTATGGCTGTGTAGTATTCCATCATGTACATGTACCACATTTTCTTTATCCAGTCCACTTTTGATGAGCATCTGGGTTGGTTCCATGTTTTTGTTATTGTGAGTAGTGCTGCAGTGAACATACGTGGGCAGGTTTCTTTTTGGTTGAGTGATTTATGTTCCTCTGGGTATATTCCCAGAAGTGGGATTGCTGGATTGTATGGTAGCCCAATTTTTAGTTCTTTGAGAAAACGTCCACCACTTTTTACAGAGGTTGAACTAGCATGCATTCTCACCAAGTGTAAAAGCATTCCCTTTTCTTCACAGCCTTGCCAACACCTGTTGTTTTCTGACTTTCTAATAATAGCCATCCTGCCCGATGCAATGTGGCATCTCGTAATTTTAATTTGCATTTCTCTGTTGATCAGTGAGCTAAGCATTTTTCCATATGTTTTTTGGCTGCTTGAATGTCTTCCTTTGAAAAGTGTCTGTTCGTGTCCTTTGCCAGCTTTTTAATGGGGTTGTTTTTTTCCTGTCAATTTGTTTGTGTTTCTTTATAGATCCTGGATGTTGGGCCTTTGTCGGATTCATAGCTTACAGATATTTTTCCCATTCTGTGGGTTGTCTCTTTATTCTCTTGATGGTTTCTTTTTGCTGTGCAAAATTTTTTTAACTTAATATGGTCCCACCTGTTAATCTTAGCTTGCTGCATTTGCTTTTGAAGACTTGGCCATGAATATAGACTTTAATAATAAAACAAAAATGAAAACTATTGTCTGAAAATAATAAAATTTGCAACTTATACATTTTCTTTAATCTTTGCTTTTTCTTTCTACATTGTTCATAAGGAAAAACAGTAATTTATTCTTTCAAATAAGAGCTTTTTCAATAAACTGAAGTACATACTCATTTAATGAAATAATATTGATTAGCCGGGCTCGGTGGCTCAGCCTATAATCCCGCGCCTTTGGGAGGCCGAGGTGAGTGGATTGCCTGAGCCCGCGGGTTCGAGATCCACCTGGGCA